TTTATAATCTTTTCTGAGCTTCACTCTCCACAAAATTTTTGTCTGTACATATCAATAGCCAGGATAGAAAGCCTACTCCAATATCTCTGCCTTTATCTAGCATGGACCAAAAGCCTAAAGTGAACACAGTGCCTTTAAAATGTCATGCTGTTATATCCATTTCATTCTTTGCAATCTTTCTCCAAGGAATGTCTGGCTTTGGTCAGGTCCATTCTGCCTGCTCCCTTACCACAGTATCACAATAAATTTCTATTTTTTTCTGTCTCTAAGCTTTGCCTATCCGTACAATCATCCACAGTGTCACGTTAGTTTCTATATTCCCATGATCAAGAATCTGTAATGACCCCAAAGTTTTCATAAAGCAAATCCCAAATACTTTGGTGTCCCATTGAAGAGCTGACATGATCTTAAATAATGACATTTAAAAAAAAATGTATACATCAAATTTTTAAATTTTTGCCTATTCTTATATATGTATGTATCTATCTGTCTTTAAAGTGATTGACCACTATATCTTTGAAATTTGAAACTGGGATTTGGCACCTGAATTGATTCACTTTTCATTCTGCTGAAGAAAAAAATATTACACAAATAAATCATGAAATGAGGGCCAAATAGCACTCTTGTATGTTCTCATATCTAGGCAAAGAACATATGTGATGATCAGATAGAGTATAAATTTTAGATCTGAGACCACTGTCAGTTACTTTTCTTCCGCATGAAATTTAGATTTTGAAAACAGGCTGACTTTTTGCTTTTAGGAAGCACTTTCTAAATCTCATCGGAGGCATGTAAACAGACACGTACTGGAGTCTATTTCAAATACAATGAGGCATCACAATTTCAACTATTAGTAAGAGCTTACATTTCTCACTTCTCCTTTGACCATTGTTCTTCCATGGAAACCTGTTATTTTTCTTATTTCATCCATTGGTCTTATGACTCAAGCCCCTCTGGTCAATAAGGGATGCTAGTGCCATATTTTAGGATGAAACTAAAACAAAAATATCGCAGGCCTCCTTCTTCTAAGACAATACCAACCAGTGCTTCTCCAGAACCTTCCTGGAATCATTAGGATGTGCCATCAAGCACTTGCTCCCAAAGGACACAGAAATCTATCAGAACAGACATTATTTTTGCCTCCATTTTATTTTTCACCACTAGTATCCAGTTTGATGGATACTAGTGGTGAAATCCACAGTTCTATGAATAATAATGGAATTTAAAAGATGAGACCAAAAAGTATTAATAGAGAATGTTTCATCTTTTCTTCAATGCCTGTGGCAAATTAAAGTCCTAGAAAATAAAAACCTTTTCCTTTGCTACATTAAGATAAGAAAAATCATCTCTCTGCTGTTTTATTTATTCCAGTGTCAGCCAAAGAGATCATAATTAGATGGCGCTAACAGTGCCCTGGTAGCAGTTTCCTCCTGGGCCACATTTCCCCAACAGGGTGTACCGATATAGGCATTTTATTTGAAGGTGAATTAACAACACTAATGTTCATGTGTTTTTCCTTTTTCAAAGGTTGTGAGCCAATAAAGCACAGCAGAATTTATCTCAAGACAAATAATGCTTTCCAGATTCATATGGCTATTCCCAGAAAAAAAAAAAAAAGAAAATAGTAAAGTTTTGGTGTTATCTGAGGGAAAAAAAGAATAACCAGCAAAATATGAAAGATTGGTATTAGCTGTTCAAGGATGTCAGTCAACCTGTATGTATTTTTCAAGGTTTTCCTTAGACATACATTAAGTAAAGAAAAGAAGTCTTCTGACGGTTAATTATGACTTCATAATTCTTTCACGATGTGTTCTAAAACTTATAGAATAAAGTGCACTTTCTCTTCTCTAACATAGTGACATGTAAGACACATCTTTTTTCTAACAAATTTTAGAAATTTGTAGATGCTTAGAAATAGTCAATGAAGATACAAAAATTATTCATTAGTAATTAAATACGGCATCTCCAGGATTTAGGACTTTTGGGAGGTTTTCTTATTTTTATGTTCATCCTTTATATTTAAGCCCATGTGTCTTCTATATCTGTTTGGATTTTATTTTCTAGATATTTCCGCGATTAATAAACCCTAAGTACTTTCTAAATATATAGCATCTACTCTGTTTTACTATTGGTATTCACCAAATGTATTTATTTAAATAATACAACTATCTTATCAAAATTAATAGCCTTAAGTTTTCAATGCTCTCAGTTCCTGACTCTTCTCTCTATATTCCTGTTTCCCTAAAAGCATCTTAGTTCATGGTTAACCCTGTGATATAATGGCAGTAGATGTTTCCTAGTCTGAAATTCCCTAGGTAAATGGTGTCCAAATATTTCTACACTTTTTTTTTGAATTGGAGTCTCACTCTGTCATCCAGACTGGAATGCAATGGCACGCTCACAACCACCACAGCCTCAACCTACTGAGCTCAAGTGATCCTTCTGCCTCAGGCTTCCAAGTAACTGGAGCCACAAGCACACACCACAAAGCCCCGCTAATTTTTTGATTTATTGTGGAGATGAGGTCTCACCAAGTTGCCCACACTAGTCTTGAACTTTTGAGCTCAAGCAATCCTCTCACCTTGGCCTCCCAAAATGCAGGGATTATAGACGTGAGCCTGCCCAGCCTCTACATATTTCAATAACCTAGGGTGCTTTTTAAAATACTGATTCCTTGGTTGCACAGCATGCTGACTAAATTAGAGATAAGAATTGAGTATATTTTTTAAAGATCCTCAGATGATTTTAGTGTATAGCATAAGATTCACAGGTCTATGAATTCCAGACTTTAGTTTTAAACAATTTTTTTCTCTTCTTTAATTCAGCAAGATAAATAGTCATTGAGAGAATGGGTAGAAAAGCAAATAAAAACAGTCTTTCCTTCTGGAGACTTGCCTATGCCAGGACTTTCAGGCATGAAACTTTTCCCTGTCTTTTGTATCCTATATTCTCTCTTCTTTCTCTTAGAAACCTTGTTTAAAAACTTTGAAATAAAAACAAAGCCCATAAAAATGAAAATCATGAACCATTAATCAAGTAAATGCAAATTAAAATCACAAATGATATTTTAAATTATTCTAACTAATGAAGTTGTTTTTATGTTTTTAAAAAAGATGCTGTGACAAAGAAAACATCCTATTTATTTTCAGAATAAAGCTGGTGTTTACAGAAGATGAAAAATGAAAAAGTCTTTGGATTTTTCACTAAAAATACTTGAAACTAGAAGAAAATAAAGAAATGTCTTCAAATTCAGGGAAAAAATGTGTAGCCTAAAATGTTCTACCAAATCAAGCTATACATTGTGTAAAAGTATAAGAAAGGCCATTTGTGGACAAGGACGCTCTCCAAGTCATTACAGCTTTACCCACTATTTGTCAAAAAACAACTGAGCAATATGTTCTATAAAAATGAAGAAATAAATCAATGAACAAAAAAAGCATGGAATCACGAAAGAGAAACCCACAAAAGAGAGTGATAGAAGTAATTCTCAGTGTAATGACTGGGAGATCATAGGATGTCTCCTTTGCTCCAGAAAAAACATTCTAGATTTCAAATACAAAGGGAAATCAAGTTAGTAGAATACCTTCTGGGTCTGGACACACTGAAATATAAATTTAGACATTTCAGTACTTGTGAATAAGTTATTAAGACCCATGATGAAAGATATAAGAAATTTATAAATTGTGTCAATCAAGAAGAAGTTCTGCAGGAAATGAAACGTAGCCATAGCATATCATAAGGTTTTGATGGGGGTAGCATTTACATTGTCATAATAATGTAAAAAGCTTACATTTCTAAGGAAAAAAACAATAATTTTACCATTTCTGGGTAATGGGAGGACCAAAAAAATGTTTCTCTTAGTAGGGGTAGAGATGATGTATGAAAAAAGACTAATCTTCATCTTTGTGGACATCAGAACATATGACAAAAATGGAAACATAAAATTAGCAAAATAAACATATTATGTGGAGAAATTGAAGAAGAATCAAAGTAATTATCTTTTTTTAAAAAAATAGGGAAACAAAAGAATAAGGGAAGAGACTGTTATCCTTCTTATGCTGCAAATTTTATAAAACAGATGTACTCCTAAATCATGTTCAGGTAAAAAAAAAAAAAACAAACAATTTTTTAATTTGTAGCTGCCTAAGACCAGTTGGGGTAAATAAAAGCCTAAACAAAAATTGTTAAATGTGTGAGAAATTAGATGTCCTGACATATTCTTGCAATCTAGAGGTTGCATGTGTGTGTAGGTCTGTGTGCATACCCAGGAGAATCCGAGGAGGGCCCAGTACGTCCCCTCTGTCTGATCTCAAGCCCTGTGCAAGAAAGAAGTAAAGGCTAAGGTAGAGTTTCAAACAGCCTGAGCATCGAGGGCATACCCTAAAACAAACATGAAGCTCCTTGGCAAGCGTGGAAAATTTATTGGTTCAAAACAATAAGGAAATCTCTGACAAGTCATTTGTTGGCCACTAAGCTCACTAAGCAGAGATTTCAGTGTGTGAGCTCTATAAGGGAATATACACTTTACAGTATTAGTCCAGGTAAGTAACTAAATGAAAAACAACAATAAGAAGAGCCAGGAACAACAAACTGTAATTTGGAGGTATGAGAGTCTGGTTTCCTGAGTTGCCACATTATGTTGTCTAATATATCAAAGTTTCAACAAAAAATTATTAAATGTGCAAATAATAGAAAAGTATGGCTTGTGCATGGGGGAAACGGTCAATAGAAACTATCCCTGAAGGAGCTCAGATGTTGAACTTACTAAATCAAGCATTAGAGATATTTAGATTAAAAAAAAATAACTGAAACCAAAAGGGGCTAAACAATGGTCAAAATCAGTGTTCAAAAAGACCATGACCCTTGTGATTCTCAATCCTAATTGTTTCACAGAATTATTGCCTTCAATTTTCAGCATCTGTGTGTATACATATAGTAAAAAAAATTCTTTTTTTCCACTAATAATGAGAAACAATCAATCAGTTAAGAAAATTTTAGAGATGTCTCTAAACGGTTCTTATGTTTTAATCTCTTTTTCAGGCCCTCCAGTTAATGTCACATGCAACATATTCATCAACAGCTTTGGCTCTATTGCAGAGACGACCATGGTAGGCATGTTTACTTTGTACAATCTTCACACTGGAATAATATATAATCACATTAATGATAACTTTTCTGTGAATTCAGTGCAATTTAATACCCAAATTAATACAACAAGATTTTAAAAGATAAAATTAGGGACACAAATTATAATCAACTGCAGGTAATAATGTTTCATTTAGAAATGATATAATAAAAAAATTAATATCAGTGAAAGCAATATTGACTCTTCCCAATTCCACAATCTAATATTAAGCCTCAAAGTGAAACTACAATTTTGTCGTACAAATTATCTGCTTTTTTCCAGTGCTCTTTACTAGTCAGACATAAGCATAGTAGTAAATACTTGCATGCTTATCCCATACACTTACAAATTTGGTCATTTAATATTATTTTAAATATTGTATTTGATTACTTTTTCTAATACATATAGTATCTTCCTAAACTTCAGAAAGATTTTATAGATTGCAGTGTGTATCTTCATTTAACATTACCATGTAATTCAGACAACTTTGTGTAATCAAATTATTATACCTGAAAAATAAAAATAATAATTGCAGACTGAATTTCATTTTGTTTTGAGTTTCATAACTTTCTCTAAAGAGCACATGGTGATTCTTCTTCGCCCTGTATCTTTATTGCTCACTTTTGCTAAAATAAGATGCAGAAAACACGTAAATCACTGAATATCTATAAAATTGTCTAGCAGTCAATTTACTTTTTGTGGGGGAAACTATGTATAATGGTTTTTAAATTGTCTAGAATTATATTCTCTTCCTAAATTTAGCAAGTATAATTTGCATTACTTTTCAAAGTTAATATTAACTATGATATAAAATAAAAAATTGTTAGACTCTAAAATCATTATTAAATAGAGAAAAATGTTTATTATACATATGTTGGAATCACTTGATAGTAATTTTTTAAGCGAAGAAACCTAATCTGCAAATTAATGCACGTGGGAGTGTGAGTGTGTGTGGGTGGACGGCATGTAGAAGTCCATCTCAACAGGAACAGACTTTAGACACTATTTAAAAAGAATGCTATTTCCCCCACATATGCAATATTTAGTTATCTAGCAACCTCTCTATGATTGTATTCTAACTTAATATAACTACACTAAAAGCATTAGTAGAGAAAAACTCAACTATTATTTTGGGGCATCATATAGAATTATCTCAGATACAGTGCTATATAAATTAACATGATTATGTGGGTATGTGTATAAACACAAGAAAATGCATTTAATTTGCCTGAGTTAGCACAACAGGATTCTGGTGCAATTTCATCTCTAAAGTGGCTATAATCCTATTTCAGACTTTGATGTATTCTAGATTCTGGTGAAATATCTAGTCCTGATTTATATCTTGCCATTTTTATATATCCAGTCCAAATTATGCTGTTGGCTTTGTTCTATTTAAGGTTCCAAATTGTGTTTCTAGTCTGGCAACGTTCCCATTTTAATTGCTTTTATACATCCTGCATCATCCTGAAAACCAGGAAATATGCTTCTCTATACTTTTGCTTCCAATAAACACCATCAACAGCAGTAGCTGGAAAGGTTTACAGAAAAAAAAAATGGATATTGCCAAGTTTCCTTCCCACTAAAACTTAAATATTGCCAGTTTCCTGAAAAAGTCTGCTCTTTATAACCTAATTAAACAGTCTATCACTAAGATGGCTATTACACAATCTGTAATATGACTACACCAGCTAAATGTCTTACCTTTATGATTTTAGACAGACTTCCTTTATAGAATCATATTATACAACAGACTTGCAGAATATTGCGAACATTCTCTCTGAATAATCCTCATTCAGCTTTATTTCCTTTTTTCAGCACAGTAACTCTTTCCTTAACCACACATTCCATAGTTACATATTCCTTTTGAAATAATTTGTAGCATCTATTCAGCTCTTCCTCACAGCCTGAAGCATCATCAGTGAACATTATTCAAATACCCCAGAAATTAAGTATTACACAGTTGTGTCCACCTTGTATCTTCTTCTTCTAAACTCCCAAACGTGTGACGTTATTTCCACTCAGATTCAATATTCGTAAAATTGAAATAGTACCTGCTAGAATAGCTGCGTCTATGTCATCTACATAGACACAGATGAAAGTAGAATTTGTTAGTATATTTCTATCATAAAAATCATAAAATATTTGCTCTCACTAGGATGCACCGATGTATTTTTTCATAGTGTCCACTACCATGAGCCTACACCTAAGCTTTATCTTATCATTTTATTGCCTTATTTTTAAAATTTATTTTATGTTCATATATATTAATGTATTTTTCAAACATATTGACATTTCTTATGTTGAATATATTTTACTTTTGTTTTTTGTTATGCAAATAACCTAACTCAACTAAGACAGTCAATTATAATTGAGAAGATGGAATCTCAAATTATCTATAAACATTAATAAAATCTTTGTGTCTGAGAACTCATATTTAAAATAAAATGAAATAATTCTTCTCATCTGTATATCTCTGCTTATCAAAAATCTTGACTAAGTCTTCAATGTTTTTACCAACCAAATATATTGAGTTCCCTCAGCTGGTCTTGCCTCTAAGGTATGGTATCTCTCCCCATTTTAAATATAGCTTTAAAAATAAATAAATAAATACAGCTTTAGTCCCTTTTGAGGTTATTATTTTATTCTTGGGAAAATTTCTCCAGTAGATACTCTGCTTTTTAGGGCCCTTTTGGTAAATTAAGTTCATTTAAATTTAACATATTTTGTGTCTTGTTCTTGTACCATTTTTTAAAAATTCACATGTGTATTTTTCCGTAGCATAAGCTTAAATTTCTTTTTAATAGTTAAACTCCTTTTCTAATGTGTGTTAATCTAATTAACTTAATGCAGTGCCAGCCATTCTCACTTGAGTGGTTTTATTATGCTAACATATAGATATCAAAATGTTTTCTACAAATATTATGGGAATTTTAACTTCCGTATTTACCTCATATTTGAGTCACGTGTTATTGCATACAATGAGAGTCTCTAAGGATCAGTTCAGCCTTCCTCATTTCAAGTTCATATTCTTCTTTAACAATGATTGAACAACAATTGAAAACCACACTTCTTAAAAAACTAAAAACAAAACTAGTTTACTATCATTACAGTCACTGTCTTTTTTGTATAGCAATGTGGTCTTGATGAGAGGGGCACGTCTGTCCACCTTTTATACTTGGGGTGACAAAAGGAACACATGATTGCTTTCATCAGGGGAAGTTTAAGATCTCCACGTTGAGAGACTCTTGAGTGAAGCATACTCCTGAAAGCCTATGATGAGTTGTGTGCAAGGTTTATGATATGCCAGGATGGAAAACATTTGTAAGTTGGACCTTTTTTTTTTCCACTCCCCAAGCAAAACTTTTGTTTGGAAACAAAAACATAATTGTAATTTGAGGCTTATGCATAGACTCAGCTGGTCTTTGGTGCATCAAAGAACAAAGAAAAAGACTAAGGTTTAGCTGGGAAAGAAAAATGTGCCTTAAAAATGCTTTGCAATGAAGTTCCTTGGCCTAGGGAAGATTTTCTGATACTGGCAGCTCTGACTAGTGAGTGACAGTGGTGGGAACAACTAGTTTAGAGTCATGGTGGCTTCAGCAGCTATCAGGTAAAACTGTTCTTCAGGTTTTAACTGGTCATTTCCACGGTAGGGCTTGCTGGAAATTTCTGTTTAGTTGGTTATGACAGGAATAACTCCAGTCCGGGTTATCAATTTCCACAATCCATACAATGGAATTCTACATAACAACAAAATAGATATTTCTTATAGGTATAATCATGAGCTGAGATAACAGATACAAGATAATACATACCGTTACTTTCATTTATTTAAGTTCAAGAACAGGCAAACTCAACTTTGTTGACAGAAGACTTCTGACGTCTAGAAGATTACCTTTGGTGGTGGAGAGGATGGTCATGTATTGTGACAGGTACCAAGAGTCTTCTGGGTACCGAAAATGTTCTATATCTTGATGTGGATGGTAGTTACCCAGGTATATACATATGTCAAAATCATTGAATGTACACTTATGATTTGCATATTGTATAAATGGATGCTATGTCTTAATGTAAAAGATTTTTTTAAGTAAACAAAAACTTTCAAAAATGTAAAATATAACATACCAAGTGTGTCATACAATACATATATATTCAGTGGTCACAGATAAGAATGTTATAACTTACATAAAAATCCTGAAATGAAACTTTGTTTTATTCTTCCTCTGTAGCAGTCTGCAAGAATATAGGCATTAGAGCATATATTTGTATTTTGTCTAAATTTGTCCCTTCTGACCCTGAAAACAACTAGCTAAAATGACAAAAAATGAGTAGTCTTACAGAGATGATACTCAGCATATGATATAGATAAAAGGGAATTTCATTTGTTCTGGTTTGTGGTTGGGGGCCATCTATAAGTAGACCAGGAGCTCTCAGATTACTGTTAAACTTTAAGGAAAACTGAAACAGAAAATGTTTTTTAAAGCTTGTCTTTGGCAGCAGAAACAGCAAAAAAGGCACCAAAAATGTCAGCAAAACCACCAAGGACCATCAAATTAAAATTACAATAAAGTTCTACTGTCTTGAAAGAAAAGAAAAAAAAAGAGTCATCAGTCTCATCACAGTGACTAGGCACTTTAGTCAAAAGAAGGTCATTCTTCAAGTAGACAATGACATACACGCTTAGAAAACACATTACCAGGACAAAGTTTTTATGATCCTCCTGCCTTTGGGATTCCCTGAAAGTTCAACCACAGACCACGTTGTGAAACTTAACTATGGCAGAAATAAGTAAGAAAATCCCATCATAGATGCATTTTGTGGGATTAGCTAAACCCATGCGAAATTAAAATTCCACTCTATTTCTAAAATGTATAATTTTAGAAATATGAAATGTAATCACAAAATAGAAAATTTGAAAAAGTAAGAAAACCATCACTCATAATGCCTCCACACTAATGCAACATTATTCAGTTGGCTATATTTACA